TAGTATTTTTTTCCAATTTTTAAGCGATAAATGCATTTTTAAAGTTTATAAGTCATTTTTGCTTACATTTTTTTATGGGGAAATTTTTTGAGATTTTTTAGGGCAATCCCAGGCCTAGAAATAACTGTGCCACTGCAGTGCTGCAGGTTGAATGGAATGTATTCGTGAGCTCGTCAATATTTCAACTGAAAATGACGGAAAATGTTAAAATATCAGTACACTGCAGACTTGTGTCGGTATAATATTATTCGATAGAGGCGAAAAAGTTTGCGAAATTTTATTTTTGCGTCGATGATGTATGACGGGTCATCGGCGGTCTGCGCTCACTCGCGGTGATTTATTTTATATTAAATTGAAACCACACGCGTACGGATTGTTTCCGCTTATTTACTCCGATTTCCGATAACATCGCAATAATATGGCGTAGGACGTATAGTTATGTTTTCGTACAGTATAGCTGCCGCCATGTTCACTCGGTCATTATATATCACAAACGAAATATTATATTTAGGTCAATTTCGGTKATCRCAGAAAAAAACCTCTACAAAATGAATATCGTCCAAATCGTAGAATCCGYCGATTGTATAGAAATTACGTTAATTAAACGTGTGACAAAAATTGTTTATAATATATAATTAGAAAATAATTTTAGAAATATACTCGTGTCAGCAAATTTTCAAAAATCATATTTTTAAAAAAGTTATTGCGTTCCAAATTAATTTAACCAAAACAAATCTATAAAATAAACTACTTGAAATAGATAAAGCTTTTTACCATCAAAATCGTTCTTATGATCAGATTCACAAATAGGCTATTTTGAATTRGTCTAAAMAAATTTTATTTTCAGTACTAAAAATAAATATAAAAAATATTATTATGTCTTAATAAACAAAARATAAAATAAAAATAAAAATATTTATCTGAACAAAAGTTATTCCGAAAGTCAGTTCTATCTGTTACACCTTGTATATCACTTGACTTGTAAAATAAAAGTACATGAGCTACGATCACCGATATTATTATATTTTATTGATCAACCTTGTTTTTAAATCTAAAACTCAATTTGACTTTAATCGCACACATTATTTAAGACTACAATTAATTACACGATGCGTTCAACGTTATACAGACGATCGTTTTTATCTCTTAAAATGTCTTTATTATTACTATCATATGATTACTTTTTTTATTTTTTTTCCTTTTTAGAACCGACAGCACAGAGGAAGATCTGTTTGCACAATACTACTCCTCAGTCATATGATTACTTAGACTACGGAAACCATCGGGTTGGCGAAATAAAGTGAGTCAACCGTGGAGGTGACGATCGATTCGTCATCGTCACCAACATTGTGCTCTCAAACCCATTACTGGACTTGGCCAACGTGTGTGTTTGACGCTTCAATAACTTACTTTAAAAAAGTATTTTACTTGTACCTACCTCTGTGAATACTAAATTTTAATAATTATATTATCCATATATATATATATATAGCTAGGTAAACGGAAAACAATGAATATAATAATGTAAAATGTGATTTGATATAAAAGCTAGATTGTCGTTTTAATTTTTGGAATCATTTTTACGTATTTTTTTAAACAACTTACTATACAAATTGATTATATTTTAACATCCGCCATCAACGGCGACTAGTCGGACCCAGCGTCCGGTTCAGACACATAATTGTTGCGTGCGACGTCGTTCCTTTTGGGGACGATCGGCCAGAGATTCGCCGAAATTCAACTGTTGAAAACCAAATACATTCGACGATGATTGGGTCTGACAACTGTATAATATATACTGCAGTCGACTTGAGACCGTTTTGAGATAGTTTGGCTAATTCAAACGCGTATCGTGATTGACGGTTATTAGTTATCGATGACTATACGAGTAAACACCGTTAATTTTTAAATTTTAATTTATAGACAAGCAGCTTACCGTATTTATTAATAATAACATATTACCAATATTTATTCAGYCTTGATCGAGTCTTTTCTGCCCGAAAGATAAAAAGACAGATGCGATAAAGCTATATTGTATACACCCTGCGTGTCCCTAGGTCGTATAASTCAAACTGAGATCGTTTTCTTACTATTATTGAGTTTGATAGTACAGATCATCATTCTAATATTCGAGGTACTTAGAGGAGCTGTGTCTCGAAGACCAATCAACGAAAAGTAAAAATGTTAAAACCTTAAATTCATGAAAAAAAAAACGGTTTCACTAAATCGTGATGTTTTAATTATATGTTACCATTTGAAAATAAAAAGTTGATAGTGTTTTCACCAATAAATAAAAACAAGTAATACTTTTCGAGATAAATTGTGTACMTACCCACTTAATTGGATCAACCTGTATAGTATTATCACTATTGAATAATATATGTACACTGATATGATAAATACAATGCTTGATAACGAGAAATAAAAAGGTCAATGTTTTATTTGATATTTTTTTAATTAACTATATCATATTTAAATATTATCTAATATAAACTWATCATCACCACAACACGTATTTCATTTCCAGTTTCCGACATTTGCTATCTAATTCCGATAAATTATTGAGAAGGTACAAAAAAAAATATGAACGAGTCATTATCGATAATAGGTTTTTATCAGACATGATAGTTTTACCCATCGATTCAATTCATTTTWATATTTTTAGGCAATTGTTTTAGTTTTTTGCTGCGGGACCTTAAAATCATCTCAACAGCTGGTATAATATTGTATAAGCACTATAATGATATTATATATTATAGTTATTATACGATATAATATTATAACAATTTGTGAGTCGACGAAGGAGACGGATTCGAGGCTACCGTTTAGATTTCCGCCGTATTACTATAAATAGATATGCGTCGCATAATATRATATACAAGTATATGTTATATAGTATTATATGTGTAAAACAGTAGATAGTCGTTAGTGCATTTATGATRATATGAAGTAGCGTAAAAAAGTTCTAATTTTGACATTAATCTCGGTCTGTACAATGATTGTTATTAAAATAAAATGTTATAACACGTCAAATATTATGTTTTTATTTCGTATCTGTTCAAAACACAAATGTATTGCAATATGAGCGTGATAATATAATTATGGCGATACTCGTCTCATCGTCTGTACAAACAATAACAAACCTTTGAGTCTACAAAGAGTAAACACACTGAACATCTAAGGCGCGTAGCAGTGATAAATACTCGTATAATGCTATACCTAGCTACCATTGGTTTCATCTATTTACCAAAACACTTAAAAAGTTCTGTAAATGATTGTAAAATAGAACTTCAGCAGTAAAATTATACCAATGGCCTATCAATATATTGTATATTCGATATTAATCATTAGTAACGATTGAATGGAAACAGCATTGAAAACCGGTTTTAGATTTAACAAACTGCCGATTTTAATAATTATTATTTCGCGTGTGATTAGATTGAAAACTCGAACACTTATTATTATGATAAAAATGACATAAAAACGCTTTTATAGATCTACCTATGATGTAATTATGTAAAAATGGAATAATGAAACAACGCACTAATTATTTGCAATATTTTTACAGTGTGGTCACCGTGCGTGATAGTTATAAAAAATACACAATATGGAATGTTAAACATATACCGTCTACCAGTTCCCGTCAGATGCATAAAAACTTACGAAACTCGACCTACTACAGCAGTCCTAGTTCGGAGCTCATCGCGCGCGCAACGACTCGCGTGCTGCGATATTTTTATCATTCCCATTATCAATAGGATAATATCGTCACCACACCGTATATCACTATTACCGTATACCAATATTACCGTATTACCAAGTGTAAAAAAATTACCATGGCGGCGATGAAAGGGTCGATCGCGATGGCCTCGTTGGTCTCGTGGCTGTCGGTGTGCACCATCGTCCCGTCTGTAGACACTGCTCGAATATTGGCCGTCGAAACGGTGGCGGGCAAGAGCCACTGGTACTTCATGAGTTCGGTGCTCAGGTCGCTGACGGAAGCCGGACACACGGTGACCGTTTTCACACCGTTTCCGGAAGGCAATCGGACCAACTACACGGAGGTGGACACGTCTCTCGAATTCCCGATGAAGCTCGACATGGACGTGATGCAGGCGATCCACGACTTTAGCGACCCGTTCAAGTTGATCGATGTCATGTCGAAAATGGTCCGATACTACTGCGACGTGGTCTACGGCAACCGGAAGTTGGCCGACTTGATAGCTTCCGGGGTGCGCGACCGGTACGACCTACTCATAATCGAGCCGCTCGGCTTCGACTGCGTTTCGTACCTGGCCGACGCGCTCGGCCTGCCGGTGATCTACTCGATTCCGTCGCCGATGATCACCTTCTCGGAGCGACTGTTCACCGGTCACCTGTCCAACCCGGCTTCCGTTTCCAACATGTTGGCCGACCACGCCGTGCCCGGCACGTTCGTCCAGAGGTTGACCAACACGG